AACGTTGCTTTCTTTCAGCAAGACACCAACTAACTAATCCACTTTGTACGTGCCAACACAGAGATGAATCAAATGAGCCCACAAACTATGTAGTAAATTCTCGACGATATTCAGATCAAGATAGTGTCGAAAATTCTTTTCAAATTAGCAGTTTAAAGCCTAAACTCATTTCTAATAAACAGATTCAGCTGGTACAAAATTAATTTCAGAAATACAGGAAGCATCATTAGTTATAATGACTCATTACTTAGCAACTGATATTCGAACAGGAGCTTTTTCTACTTCGATGACAAAGAGGAATTCATATGAAAACATTGGTTTCACCCATGGTGTTGGGATCGCATTAAAATCTGAATGTCGTCGATAAAAGCAGAATTTGGCTGTTAGGTCATGGAGCATTCTCTCTTGAGGAAAAGTTTCTCGATTCACTCATCGGTATGCACGCCTCGCAGGAGGTCGCTCGTTTGCAACCCCAGCTTTTTCAGTCCATCGGAGTTGTTCGCCGGAATGTGCGTTGGTGAGCTGTATGGTTGAGCCAATCAGCGGTCGCTTTTGGCGGAGGGGAGACATAAAAGGAAATTGCCTGACCTTAACCCCCGTCAAGGTATACGTGATTATTTGAAAGCCAAGCACGTTCCCACAAAAGTAATGTCAGTCTCATTTACGTGCAGTTACTCCTGTGTTTCCCTACTCATTCGTAAGTAACAATTTTCTCTTAATTTCCCTAAATTATTGCAATACGTAAGAGTTTCCTTTTTTCAGATAACCACTTAGTTTAAAAGCTCAAGCTCATAATTCTGTTATATAGAATTCAATGGTGTGTTTGCAGAATCTGAAATGAAGATATAACAATATGACGCATTAAAGCATTGCGCCACAAACCCCGTGGCTTGTATGCTTTCACACATCAAAGACTTCGGAAGGATCCTTCCAATTTGGGAAATGTAGCTACTCAAAACATTTACGAGAAGTGTAAATTTAAAAGGGATCATATAAGTAATGTAGTCTCACTTGTAGTATCAGATCATTACCTCTTCACTCGGCTAAGCTGTCACAAGTGAAGCAAAAATCTTAGATGGTATAGATGAAATTTACAAATTTGGGATCATTTTTGGTTAATTAATTCAGACAAAAACGTTTCTTTGGGGTTTTGTCACAAGATCCAAAAGTTGTTAGGCATTTTTGTATATCTCGAACGCTGAACCTCGTCGATTGACTAAATTTAAAATGACGTTTTTTTGAAATAAATTAATGGTAAATGCACCCAGTCTTCAATTTCACCAGCATAAGTAAAAGGCAATCATAAAGTTTTGTTGTTAACGACTTTATTATTCGAAATGAATTGGGATAAAGGTTTCTCAAGTGGGCTTGTATCTCTAAATAGGTAGGACAATCACTAATAATACTTAGATTTTGAGGCTACGACCTATAATTAAATTAGTTATTAACCACGTGGTTATGGAGCGAAGTCTGGCTATCAGACCTTGACGTAGGAAATAAAGCTGAAACCTAACAAACCATATGAATTTTATAATCAGTGCTTGGCTCCAAGTATTGTGGCAAATAGGCACATTCTAAGAGTGACTGACGGTAAACGAGGCATCATTGTAGCCTCGGATGTTAGAGATGCAGGTCGGTTTGCAGGGGTTCCATTACCTCAAAATAATGGTTAGAGTAGGATCTTGTCAAATACAATACTTTGCCTCCTATGCTTACGTTTTCCATGTAAAAACCATATATACTTGATAATAAGACCTGTTCCTCTTAACCAAGTGGTACAGGGTTCAATAAATATTACTCGATTACACGTAAAGTTTGCCTTCATAAATATGGGGGATACTGTTAACTATGTATAATATATTCTAAACACAATATATAATGCAAATTCAAATATTCCCGTCGTGCCTTAGGATCAAGGAAATGATTTCTAATGTAGTTTCCTCTTGAAAATTTTAACAGGACTCTTTCATTTAATGGCCATAGCAATATAATGATATGTATCTGTTCTGCAACTGTAAACGTATTTCTTGACTTGGCATTCAACCGTTAGCAACAAAACTAGTAGCTAAAACGAATGAATTGGTTTCTTACACACTGGAAACTTTTGCAACTCAATTCAACCTTTAAGCACAAGTCATACTTTATTCCCACGCAACTACTAAAAACTCAGTTCAGAGGGAATTTTTAATCAAAAAACAATTGACAAGTAGCTTTTGGCCGTCTATTTCATTTCAACCAGCCATTAATTTAACGTGTTTCCTGTCTTCCTAATACAGTTGTGCGTGTTAATGTAAGATTTATTCATAATATAATGGCTACACCTCGATTGTCCACTACAAGTTTTTTTTATTATTGAATTTTAGTTCTCTTCGTCTTCGTCTGCCTTTCACCCTGCATAAATGTAAGCCCCTTCTCTGCCAAACCACTTTAAATGGACGTTTTTGGCACATATTTAAATGTGACCTAAATTTGGCTTTCAACTGATATTTTCGATCCGGCACTTTAAAGTAACGCTCCAGGAACTAGGCTACCAAAGCTTTGCATTTAACTACCCGTTTTCCGTTAGTTATTTGTAGCTTGATTAATGCATTAAATGTTAGTGCCTAACCACATGGTTTATAAAAAAAGTTAGTTCCATTACTTGATCTTTGATGCTTGCAATCAATAAATACCACAGATCAGTACGTCGCTGCACTTAGTATTAGACCACTTTCTGGCACGAACTTCATAAATTGAAAAAAAAACTGGGAAAATTTCGCTGAGTTCACTGATATTTAAGACCACCTGCTTGCCTCTAGAAGAAGGCCAGCACGAGGTAAGGTTATTTCTGCTTTAACTTGCCACAGCGCAAGTTACCTTAATTAATTTTAGGTGGCCATAAAACTAATTTTAGTTCTCGTCATAAATCACCGCAGATTTTTGAAGGGATAAAGCAATTTTAGGGAAAATCATTGCAAAAATATTGCCATTATGGATTTGCATAATGTAAACCAGTAAAACACGGCAAACCTTCGGTCGGTTACTCGAATTTTAGTAATGCCAGTGAGATCCATGTATTTTATTGGTAATAATCGGTGCATCAACACGTCCACAACTACACAAGATTGCATCCACATGGTAGACAATTTTATATTACCCTAATAAATGATGGAAATTAACCTATTATTGCTTAAATTAACCAGTTATGAATGAATATATTTTAGTCTTGCAAATTTTACAGAAAGATTTTCCTTTCAAAGTTACCAGTCATAGAAATTAAGGCGTACTTTGTGTTTACATATATTTTACCAAATCTCCTAATTTAATTGAGCCGAAAAAAACTTCCAATCTATTTAGAGAATTTTGAATCCCACCAAATCATCTAATTTAACCCTGGAAAACATTTGCCACTACTTCTTATTACATCTTTGGTCAATGTTTTTAATTTAAGTATTATGAAAATGAACCATCAATAAAAAGCCGAAGGTTTTTTAAAAAAAGTTTAAGAATATGCCAGCTTTCCTTTGTGTTTGTTTAAAATGATTTTGTCAAGGAGAAAAGTTGCATGATTTCCCTGGATCAACTTATCACCAAAGTACAATTAAAATTTTATTCGATTTTCCCAGTCACTGAGTTTCGGTAGCTGTTTAATGCATACACACGACTTTTTTAAATTCACGGACCACTTTGGTGTGTTCTTTTTTTCGAAAACAATCAAAAAAAGGAATTTGATGATACCCTCAGTTGTCCAAGAACTGAGGTCGGCATAAATAATGCCAAGGATTTGTCTAGGGTGAAAGCTGTCTTTGGAAATGCCAGAACTGTTCGCTCAACGACTTTGCCAGACACCTGCACATTGAGTTCACTTCCATCAACTATGCCAAAATATGCACTACATTCCAAGTAATGTCAAAATCAGGCTTGGCTTACATCTATTAGGAAAATCTAACTCTTGAACGCAAATGGTGCGCTTGTGAGCGATTTTTTTAAAATTTAAGGAACCTAGTTTGGTCTTCGTAAATCCACCTTGCTTGTATTATTGTTTGTCAACAGCAAAAGCTTGAACACAATTGCGCACAGGAATTTCTATCGTCGTCATGAAGTGTAGCATTGGCCTTTTGGATGTTGTCCTTGGAACACATTCAAAACGCATTTTTTAACTGACAAAACATTATACATCCTGGTCTTAAATGATTTTGCATACAAACACTAAAGCCGCCGGTAAGTTACTAATTAATGACTTGCTGAAATGGTCAATGACGTTAAACGTCCAATCCAACTTTCGCTAAGCGAGAAACATTGCTTTTAAGTAAAAATTTTTGTTTCTACTAAATAAAACGATTTTAAAATGGTCAAAACCTTACATTAGATCCAATGGCTTATTCCAAGTAACTTTCGCATTTTTGCAATTAAAATAACTGCAAATGTGTAAACGATGAAGCAAGTGTTGGCTACTTTACTTATCACTTGAGTGTCGTCTGAACCTAATAATATTGCTCTGAAGCCATTTAACAAACTGCATGTTTCCTCATATAGTCATTTAGAGAATATTTACCAATTGAGAAACCAAAGCGCTGTTGGTAGTCAAATTCCTAAATGTCAGTGTGTTTAAAAAGTGGGGAAAATCAGTGCATAACTGGTTGACAGCGGTTATTTGCAGTTATAAGTAAATTCGTTTGGTTTCAAGAACGCTTTACGTTTGTGAAAACTCAACTCCTTTTACAAAGCCAGATCTAGAAGTAATGCTCTAGGTTTAAAAAAAGGTATTTATAGTGTAATATTTCCTAGAGAAAATGACAAGTGTTGCTGCTCCGTTATTGTGTAAGGTGATGTCGGAGGCTGATGATAACCATTATTTTTGAAAGTGACTTCACGTAGCTGACATTAAAGATTCGGTGACATAAAGCATGTGGTTGCACTACCAACAACTCTAAACAAGGTGTAAAACTAAATAACCAAATCGTCACATGATTGGAAAAACTATTAGTTTGATAGTTAAATAATTGCACAATTCATTACAAATGCCCAAATCACAGAGTATTACTCACGAGGTAAACCTTGAGGTCAAAGCGTAATTTCAATTTTACTCAATTTTATGAATATAGTAACCTTTTGAAGATAATTCAACTGACTTTAATATTGAAAATATACTATCATAACGTGTTTCCCTTACATAACACGATTTTACGAACGCAAAGAATGCAATTTACTCTAAAATTCTATTGGCCTGAGTAATAGTTACCTAAAATGCAACAAAAGTTGTTACTTTAAACAGTACTGCAATGGCACTGTTTTTCGATACATACATTTTTTGATTAGCTAGAGATGATATAAATTTATTGGCGACTTTGGTGAATTAACGTTCACAGTTTCATTTTTTTTTCTGTAGGCGACCACACTGAGTTTCCCATCAATGGAACACGACAGCGACGATGGCGCGGCGGATGATGCTGGGGTGGAGGGCCACCTCCCCTTCCGACAGTACCTCGTCCAGCATAAACGCAAATTACCGTACCTACTGGGGAACATTCGATACAAACGACCGTTCGATGAGGATGAAACAGGAAGGAAGGAAATAGTTGATGGAAGGGAACTCGTGAAAAAGGCCCTAGACTATCTCTATGGTGGGGTTCGGTACCGCCGGGCGACAGGTGCTGCCTAAAAACTCTTCAACAATTTGAAGACACCATTTATCCTTCCCAGTATGTGCAGCTAGATGCTATCGGCCCTTTCTCCAGCTATCAAAAAAGGAATGTGTTTACAGTCGTTTTTCATTGTCTCATTGTTATTCTCGGTAATATGGTGCCACTAAATATAATTATTGAGCATGATTAACGAGTTAAAGTAGCCTCGTGCAGAGAAATGTTACACATGAACTAGATAAATGTCTAGAATAAATCTAACGTGTGAAAACATGAGGTCAGTTTTACAAATTCACCTAATTAATTAGCAGGGTTCAAATCACCAGCACGCATATGAGTGACTAGAATGTCAATCAAGCTTCATAATGTGTGCTTCCGAATCAGTAAATTCTTCAAATAAGTGGAAAAGAAATCGAAATTACAATTGAAGCGGCGAATAACTCAGCACTTTTAGGAATGGTTAATATTTTTTTGTAATCATCTATCTATAAATTCAGTCAATGTGGTATTTTAAAAATGTATACCATAAAAGAAATCCAATATATGTTGTGACATGAAACCTCAGACAACCAATGACTCACCTGAATTTGCCAGTGATTTAAAGAAAAATCAGGATTTGCGGATTTTTTAAAACTACATCTAACGTTGCGGTAATCTGCCAAGTTCAAATGGATTAAATGTTTATTAATTAAATTCTTCATGCTGCAAAAATTAACTGAGTGTCACCACTTTGTGAAACAGTCGGCTCTTATTTTAACACTTGGAATGCTTCGCTAGTTTGTCATGCAATCCGGAGATTTTCAATGGCCAAATCTAATGAGGGTAAATTCGGAGTCAGATTTTCTACGATTGCCACGTTCAATGTCCCGTAGTTCTGCCAACTAGTTTAACACCAGGCAGTTTAAGCTGCTTAATAAATCAGCTCAAGGAGACAAAGATGAGGAAAGAGACTCGAAAATTTGCTGACTGTTATGATAACTCTACATTTACACTTGGCCGCCCCTTAATTCTAACTGATTTCGCTGATGCTTCATTTGCTTCGACGAAACTTATCATTGTTTGGACATTTAGATTAAATTCTTGCTTATCTAGGGTCCCGTACTTTCGTCTGCCTGAATCACACGGACACCTTCCACAATACTACCTTTTTCTGCAAGGTTATTGATACAATGTATTCTTCTGTGGTTGAAACAGTAACCATTAATAAACCTCACTAAGTCTTCTCCTCTCTCTTATATTTTACGGTTAATCATAAATCTCCTTCTATGCGTAGAAGAGTATTTAATGCTTGCTGCTACGAAGTAGTGGGCTTGGCTAATGGCTTCATAAAATTGGGCCCCTTGAAATTTAACTACTTTGGTTTTAAAGCTATTGCTATAGCAGAGTCCATCATTCTTGTCAGGAAAAGACGTGAATCTAGTTACTACTGAATTCGTAACTAGATGCGTTCTTGATTGCGTGCACAAGCTCTTAAACAGTTAATTTAAACTACTCTCGTTTGACAATTCACTTGCTTTTGGTTGCTTTACTCAGAAACTTAAAATATACCACGTTAAAAAGTGAGCTGTAAGTTGTAAGCAACCAGAATCTGTACGTGTGGTGGATTACTCGCTACACCTGACACCCAAGCACTTAATCTTCGTTTGCGATCATATTCGTCTGCTATTATGGAGGTAAAAGCCTTTCAGGCATCACAAGACATGAAGCCTGGAGAATATATCTAAGAGTGCTCTGCGTAGGAAAACGGCCATGTCTCGTGGTAAGTTTCAAGGGAAATGGCATATCAATCCACGCATAACTGAGTGTGATTTGTAGTTCACGATCGGTACTACACTTGCGGTATTAAAAAGGCTTCTGCTTAACCAAGCTAACTTGATTATCGAAATTGGGTATATTAGATTACCGCAAAGTAGACGGACATCACAGACAACCATCGTTTGGAACTAAGTTTAATAATTTTGTTTCTAAACTTTACTCTTTTTTTATTTTTACTGATCTTGACCTCAATATTTACGAAAGCAGATATGGTTTTACATTCATCTCATATATTTAGTCTGTCAAGTGAAAAATAATCGTCAAGGTTGGTAAATGCAAGATGTAACAGGAGGAAGGCAATAATTTAAAACCGTCGAATTCGCGATAATTTCCAATTGGAATTTAAACATGAGTTTATTCGGCTTTAAAAAAGGCAGACTGTAACTTCAAAATATTTAAATGTATTTGTGTTGACATTTAGGTTTAACTGCAAATTATTCTATCTTTTTGGATTGCATAACCACATTGTTTCTACAAAAATGATTACATAGGCATTTGCTATTCTCCTCATATTTACCAATTATTAAAGATGAGTTACGTTTGTAATTTTAAGTTTAAGAAACGCTCAATGTTCAAAGCCTTTTCCCAATTGGCTATTATATAGTTTCGCAGCAGTTTTCTGATTTGTATCACGATTACACAATTATTTGTATAAGACTTTATAATTTTTTTTTGAAATTCGTTAGCTGAGCTATTTTACCTAGTAAGGGATCAGTAAAAATTATCTTAAATGCAGGGTACTAGTCACTGCGTCAAATTAAAGTATCAATCAACAGGGCAATTTCAACTCAGTTTTACTTCCATGCTTCCAATATGACACAAATTCATTAAGATTTACCAGTATCCGATGTTTTCGCGTGTCATTATATGAGCAGTCACAGGATTTCGAACTAATTAACAATTGGATTCTGACCGGTTATTTCGACATCTTTATCCTCCACTTTTCACTCCTACTTCTTAACGTGTCACTACACTACGCTACACTACAGGTTTGATCAAACCATCATAAATAAATGAGGATGATATTGAAACTTAAAAATTAACACTTAAAATGCTTCCCAAATCTTTCCACAGGTTTGAGTTGATCAAGTGCTTAAAAGAAGCCGCAACGTAACTCACAGTGACTCGTCTTACTGAATCAACCTTCCTTCTGGCCATCAAGAGCACTAGGTCTGAAGTTCAGCTACTTTTAAATAATGACCAACGAGTCCATGCCATAAAATTAGGCAAAAAATTGCATGTTATTTGAAATTCAATTCACCATGTTTTAACAGGCTTTTAATGATTCACATCTTTCCAATCTGGGACGTTGTCACCAAAGACTAAGGTAATGCAAAATGTTTTTTTTTCTCCACCGCTCAAACACATGATGATTGCATCGCAATACTGATCAACCTGTGCGATCTTAAGTCAATGTGGGTTATATATTTTAAATGTCTAAAACTCAAAAGAAAGGTTAGTCGAAAATAACTGCGGCGCCACAGTTTTTTGGGATTTCGAAGTTATTTTCGTAGAAATTTTGGTTGAAAAAGCAAATTTAACGAGTTACTTTATTAGGTTACCACAAAAGTCAAAATTTGCCATTTAGGTCTGAAATGTTTCCTGAAAGTATGATTTTTTTTATAATGACGGTGCGCTAGCTCACCGGTCAGGGCTATTTCAAAACTTGTAAAATAAATTTGTATTTATGCCATACTACAATCCAGTCTTGTTTTCATTTCACATTGTGTTATTTGTAAGATCAAAAATTTATTTAAGAACTCTTAGATTTTGTAAATTAACTCCAGACAGTTGTTTTAATAAAGGATGTTGTTTGACAAAAAAATAGAGTAAACCCAAACATTTTGATATAGAAGAAGGTTGTGTTAATAAATAACTCAATGTTAACCAATAGTGCACTATAAATTCGTCAGTGTGCTTGCATCAGACGTCCCAGTTAACTGAAATTTCAAGTATACACATTTACTACCGTTATTTGCAATCATTTTCTCTCTAAAACTGTTAATTACTAAAAGCAAATAATTCAAAAAATTAGGCCTACTATTCTCTGCAGAAATGTGTAGTAGTTGCGAATACGTTTTAGATAGATAGGGAAAAGTTTTTTTTTAACTACGCAGAAAGCTATTTTACATAGTGTAACTCAAGTCGGCTTTCTAAGCTAATTTTTTGCTTGCCTTAATATTCACCAATCTTGCAAATTACCTACAGTTCTCATCTGCTATCGGTCAGTTCAGGGCCAAAGTTTGCCTTAGCTTTGATGTTTGCTTTAACTCCTAATCCGTACAGAACGTCGATAAAGCCGTTTTACATTGGCTATACTACTGTCAGTTAGCCATAATCACTTATCACAAATAAAAGCAACGCCGATCACAAGGTAACGCAAACCACACAGATTATTACTGTTCAACTGTCTGAGAGCAAACTATTCTCTAATGCATACAAAGAGCACAACGTTTTTCGATTCCACCTTTCACGCCAATTTGCCATTTAGAAATGCATGTTAAAATTTTAGAGATAGTAGACACTAAGCAAGCATCGTTATTTAAGAGCGGATATATAAACATATGAACTACAACTAAGAGCAAACAGTGTCCATCGTTTTTTGGAAAAGAATCATGCTCCAAATATCAAGAAGTACAATCTTTACATCGCTTTCTACGCAGTGGGTTTTGTTTGTGAATAAAAATGAAAAAAAAAATACTTTGCCCTTATAAAAGGTCGAAAAGGTCTAGGTAAGCCTTTTAAGGATAATGGTATCTGCGTTAGTTTTCACAAGATTAATTAAAACAAAACTTGCTTGCATTATTTTTTATTCATGTAAGATCACGAAATCAGTCTTTTTGCATGCATTGAATGAAAGTGTAACCCATATGAATCCTTTGCTTTTACCTACGTGACATATGTGTTGACTCCCATAATCTGCAATCTCAATACGAATGAAAGACCTCATCCTTTTTGGGTCACTAATCACCTAAATCAGTACGCGCCCTGGACTCGATTCTCGTTTGATCAAGAAATTGGATACAGAAGCCGAAATCACCGTGGCTTCAGTTCCTCATGCTAAGGAGAGTCGCTCAAATCCCCTTTCTTTCAGTTGGTTCCCACTTCTATTTTCATGGACTACTTCTAGAACGAGTGAGTTAAGATTAATAGTATTTTATATAGCTGTGGAGAAGCCGCATTGACATTTCCAGAAGCCCAAAAT